GGTGGTGATGAAAATTCATCAAAATCTACCCTCTTGTATGGGTTGGCCGCCATAATCTTACTTATTGAATAAAACTTTCTAATTTTGTTATGTCATAAATGAATATTAATCATCGTCGCTTTCTAGTGCCACAAGCGAAATTTTAAATATAATATAAATAAGTCTCGTTACAAACCTTAAATGCAAATAGGGAAGCAAATAAAAGAGCGGAGGTGGGGGTGGCTTTAGGGCTTTTTGCCCTTTGTTTTTTGAATTGAGGGAAATTATTACCCCTTTGGCTGGCCATGGTTTCATAGAAAAAGAAATTAAAATGCTTAAATGCATGCAATTAACTATTTCTCTTTTTATTAACTTTTTTTTTTCATGGTTTGAAAATTTAAACTTTAATGAAATTTAAATTTAAAAAATGTTCCACTTGATTTTATGAAATTAAAATACACACAAACTCTTACAAGTTAAATTTACAACATATAAAAAAGCTTGAAACCCTAAATAGATAATCTAATGTAAGGTCTTCATTATGCTCCTTATATGGGGCCAATTTTCTTGCTTTGACTCTTTGTAATTGACCCAAAAGCTTTATGTGCTACATCACTCCCTTCTCTCATCAACTTTCAACCATGAGTCCTTCCCTCCCCCCTCATCAACTGATCCCAAACATCAAAAAGTGATTTAAGACTCTCACTCCCTTTGAAGTTCTCACTCTTTTCTATTCTGGTAAATTCTTTCACTTCCATGTTATTGCACCCTTTATCTTCTAAATATATACGCCATTTTTTTAATTCTCACCTGAATAGAGGTCTAATAGATTAAATTAATATCATTTGCAAAAACATACATCAAAGTACCACACTTTGAATAGATTTCTATATCTCTTTTCGTGCTTCCGTGTTTTTATCTTTCTTTTCCTACTTTTTAGAGCTTTCATAGTTGTCCATTACCCTTTTTGTAAGACTTCGAACTTGTTTGTACTTAATAAATTTTTTGTTATATTTACATTTTGTCTCTCTTCAAAAGGTATTTTTCTTATGTAACAACATTTTGGATTATTTTGGTGTAAACTTGCACTTTTAAGTTTTAAATACGTGATATAGCTTATTGCCGTTATTTTGATTCTTATTGGAACGGCACTATAAGTTCTGAAATTCTTGCAACTATTGCCCACTTGACCATGATATCTGTTATTTCTGTTGCGTCATGCTGATGATCTGGTCTTTTCTTTTTTCCAGGCTCAAATAAAGCCGTGTCAAAGGAAACAGAACGAATTGATCAATTATTTTACACTTACTATGATAAATCTTCTGGCTTGATAGGGTGAGTTTCTTTTCTATTCGTATATGCTTTGTCTTAGGAAGTTGTTACTTGGAAATTTGCTTGACTTATCTCTCTTAAGGCTAAGAACGACCATTGAGCCTTTGGAGTAGATGCTTTTCTCAGCTCTGGGAAGAATAGCATGGAAACTTATTGGAAAGGATGCACAGTAATTTCCAGGTGTAAAATCTTGGAATGTGGAAAATTTTGGAAATGTTGTAAATATAAGCTTGGACTAGAAAATGCATATTAAAGTTGATTAACTGATTTAAATTCTGGTGTTCCATTTTTTCGACAACTTCGCAAGTAGTGTCGAATTCGTCTTGTCTGTGCGTTTGTTGAGGGCTCATTTTAACGTTTAATCACTCTGTTAATTAATTTTAATGGATGTTTTGCCTCGTCATGAAATTGGTGTAATTTCTAAAGAGAAACTTCAGGGACACTTTTTCTGCTTCAAAATCTAACACTTGATTACTTTGCTGACTAATCAGCCCTGAAGGGATTGAGGCCTTTTGTTCTGATGTGGAAGTAGATCATACTGATGTGAGGATATTGATGCTTGCTTGGTATGGTTTTATATATCCCTTGATGTTTGTTGTTCATTATTGATTGCACGTTTGTTTGACTGAAACTATTTATCAGGAGGATGAAAGCTGAAAGGCAAGGATATTTTACCCTAGTAAGCTAACATAAATCTTTGGACATTCCTCCGTATTATGGCTTGGCTCTGCTCTGTATCCTTTGGGTATAATGCGACAAGAAAAAAATGCTATAGCAATAAGAACAATGCTACAATTTTGGCCAAAATTGGACAAAAAATTATTGTTTTGGCCAGATTTTTTCCCGGCTAAAAACACATCGCAAGTAAAAGTATAAATTTGCACATTTCATTTTGGCCACAAGATGCACAGAGTAGCATTGCTCTAGCAATAAATCTCTATCTGACAATTTTTATCACAGGAAGAATGGCGAAGAGGTCTGAAAGCCATACGAGCTGACACTGTCAGTAAATTTAAGAAGGCTCTATCAGAATTGGAGAAAGAGGTCAGCAAATGTACATTCATCGTGCAAAGATCTTTCTTTTTCAATTTCTTCTGTACTATAAATCTTTCTTCACATGTTGAAGGTTATGAGGCCTCAAAATTTCCAGGACTTCTATTCTTATTCTTTTCGCTACTGCTTAACAGGTTGGTCAAGCACAGCTCTTTCATTTTCTATCCTATTAATTATTAGTTAAAATCCTCTCTTTCTATATTACTAATGTTCTCTGGTACCAACTTGTCTTTTCAGAGGAAAGACAGAAAAGTGTAGACATTGAGATTGCCTGTGAACTACTACATCTTGTATTAGGCTTGAAGTTTCGTCCTCAGATTGACAGACTTGGAGAATATCTTAAGGTATGGATCATGCACCACTTCTCTTCATTATCTGCTAAACTCTCTCTTGAGCAAAGGCTTCATATTTCAGGAAAAAAATGTATCGGTGTCCTAATACAAAAATCTATTAGGACAGGTAGACATTTATCATCATTGCTGTGAATTCCTACTGAGACTAATGAGTTTCTGGATCATCATGTAATGCAGAAACAACACGAGTACAAGGTAGTAAATATGGACCAGTGGTTGGCCATTCTCAGGTTTTGCAACGAGGTCAGTATTTTTTTCTCTCTGTAGAGAGAAGTTTAAGATTTTGTCTGGGGTAGTTTTTTTACTATTTTTTGAAGCAGTTTTATAGTAAAAAAAAATTAGTTCAAAAATTTTTATATTATATAGTTGATTTAGAAAGTAATAAGAAAGTTGTCTCAAACAAAGTCTAATGTTTCGTTTGATAATTTGGGACAACTTTCTTACTGTTTTCTAAAGCAGCTTTTTTGTACAAAATTTTAAAAAAAAAGTATTAAAAAGTTGTTTTAGAATGCATTAAAAAAGTTGTCCCGAATGAAGCCTAAATTTCATACACAACTCTCCTTGGCCTATTGGTTGAAAGCTTAGGCTTCCAACTAAGAGGTCCAAGGTTCGAGTCCTTGTGTATGCATTGTGTGTGTGAGTTTGCCTTAAATGGCCTAAATGTCCCAAAAAAAAAGCCTAAATCTCATGAATAACCAATTGAGTTCTACTTTCTTGACAGATAAACTTTCCATCACTTGATAATTATGACCCTGACCTTGCTTGGCCTATACTATTGGACAATTTTGTGGAGTGGATGCGTGAGCAGCAAGCTTAAGTCATTCTACATCTGCTATGATCTTCTCTTGTTAAGGAATGTCTTTGACACAACAGATATGATTTTTTTTCTCTTCTTATTCTATGTGGCTTATTTGATTTATTTCAGGAAACTATATCAATCTCAATCAGGTTGTGTTATTTTTAAGTTCTGCAGCTTTGTTTTATTACAGGTGAACATGTGATGGACAAACTCTGTTCAGTTTCATCATTTCTGTATAGTTTTGATATTTTGATCAGTTTCGGGGTTTCATATAATTTTTTTTTGGTGATTTTAGTTATTTTTATTATAAAATAGTATAAAAAATATAGTAGAAATTAATAAAAATTACTTATTAAAATTTAAGTTATAACATATGATATTTAATAGAATTTTGGCTATGACTGAATAGTTCTAGCAGGGGTGTAACACAAGTCAAGTCAAGTTTAAGTCTATGGGCTTCGAAAATTCGTGCCCCGGTCTCCCCTCTTTCAGGAGAATTTAGCATATTAAGTTCCGTGATAAATTTTTTGAAGACATATTGGGTTTGAAATAAGGCACTAACCAGAGATTTAGCCCTCATTTTGCGAGGACTTTATGATCTGAGTTTTGATTTCCTATTGTTGCAAGTCTCTATAGTTAATTATCCCTACCAATAACGAGAGAGGACTTTCGATTAAGCCTAGTCGTCAAACATATACAGGGTATCTGACATATATTAGCAGCATGATTTGGTATTGTTGAAAATTTGGATTTTGATGATTTTTGGGAATTTGGATTTTTATGGACATTTGGGATGTCTTCATAAATATTTGGAGTTAATCTTTCTGGTTGATATCTACGTTCAACACAATCATCATCGGGGTAACTTTGGATATTTTTATGTTGTCTATTAAATCTTATTGACTCTGCCAACTTGCCGACAGAGGATTGTGTTCTTTATTAGTTTTATACTTTTTATTAGTGAATTTTTCTTATTATATGTCTTGAAGGCCTAATATGAATGTATTAATACAAATATTTCGATCGACGTCGTGATCATATATTTGTTTGATAGTTCGAGTTATGTCAACTCCTATCTACTCGTATAGTAGTAGTAATGGTGGGCTGACTATGTTTGAAAGGTTGTTGTGATTGTGTGAGCAGAGAAGCTTTCAGGTACGGGTTATTCAGGTGAAGAGGGGCTGAAAAGCTGGGAGAAAGGGAGTTGAGTGGAGAGATTCACACGGCTAGCTGGGATTGGCAAGAGGGCTGGTTGGCGGCCTGTGCGAGAGGTATTGCGGCACAGTTATGGGAAGAGGAGTTTGGTGTGAAGATCGGCTATATGCAGCTGAGAGGCGTCGAGGGGCTGGGGAAATCGGGTGCATCGGAGCGAGCATAGGGTCGTGAGGTTGGAGAGATTATTGCGTTCGATACTTTACAGTACTGAGCAACACCGAGCTCAGAATTGCTCGGTATTTTACAGTACCGAGCTCAATACCGAGCAGGGAGTGATGTGGAGCATTTTCATTCGGCTTCGGACGTTATCTGGTGTCCGAACCCAATAATTTCCCCGTGATGAGGTTGGGTGGTTGCTTGCGTGGAGGATTTGGAGGGAGGCGAGCAGATTGTAAAGGAGAGGCTTTGTTGATTCGGCCATAGCTGAGGAAGAGGCGAAGGGGAGCTGGGATTGAGCTATATCGAGGATATCCGTTCGGAAAATCTTGCCAGGAGACGCGAAGCAGGCATAGGTTTCAGCGGAAATCCGGGGATTAGATCGATTGATACGAGCTAAAATTGATTTTGATTTTGACGTTTTATTTGGCTTTGATTTTTTTTTTAATTAAATTAATGGTAATATAATAATGATTCATTATTATTATTATTATTATTAATTTAAAATGACAACAAAGTGCCAATCACAAAAAAATTGCTTTGATTAGCGTGCAATTTTTACGTCTTGAAATTTTCATTGATTCGCACGTGTGACTTTCATTGGGCGATATCATATTCTATTTTTTGTATCGTCGATGTAACGACAGTAATGGCGCAGTTCATTTCATGATCGGATATTATTTGGGCAACATTGCACTTCAATTTCCTCAATTTTTTGCAATTGCCTCATAATGTGTGTTGAATTCTTCACTTGACTTTAATTGAACAAATTAACAATCATTTTTAAGTGTTGTATGGCGTAAAGAACATCGAGATCAATGAGTTTGATCGCAGTTTTGAAAGAGTTGTAGGAGGGAGGGAGGGAGGCCGTTTAAGATGTAGAGTATGACATCTTCGGGGTCAATCTTGGACACGGCGGAGGCAATATTGTCCACAAGAAGCTTGATGTTAGCGATGTATTGTTGCATAGATCGATCTTTCATTTGAAGTTGATGAAGTTCATACTTAAGTTGGATGACCCGGGATCTGCTGGTTGGTTGCAAGCGTTTCTCAAGAACCGCCCATATGTCTTGAGCTGAGGAAGAAGATGTGACGTAAGGGAGGATGGCAGGGGAGATCGTAGATAGCAGGGCTGATATAAGATTCTTGTCGACGAGATTCCAGAGATGAAAATAAGAGTTGGAGGGATTGGTCGGACAGGGTGTTTCGCCGGTCAGGTGTCCAGCGAACCCGTTTGTGGTGAAATGTTGAAGGAGCTGAAGACGCCAAATGGCGTAGGTATCGGTGGTGAGCTGGGTGGGCACTAAGTTCTTAAGGTTGGATATCAAGAACTTAAAAGAGGGTGGGATGTTGAATTGAGAAAGAGCTGTAGACATGGAGGATTGAGGTTGAGATGGACGGGACGTCGCTGAATCTTGTTTTGCCATGGGAGATGCTCTGATACCATGTGAACCCAGCTGGCGGTGAGGAAAGAAGAAGACAAATGCAAGAAACGAGAAAAGACATTCTTGTATTCATATATAAAAAGAGTTGTGCATATATGTTTATTTATAGATGCATAGGAGATAAAATAACTACAGGTACAATATAGCCTAAGGTATACTTCCAGTATGACATATATATCATAACATTGTTGTTGTGATCACAACGACGTAGTCGGTTTTGTGATCAGAAGTCGTTTAGACGACGTCGCGCTTTAATTTTGGATGTCAGTCGTCCTTTTTGACCGATCTCGTTGGATTTGACTATGAGGGATTCCCTCTTAGGCTAATTCAATGTTCTGATTGCAACGACACAATCCGGTTGGCAATTGACCCTTCAAGCGACGTGCCACACAGATTTGCGTGTAATTTAATTCGTCGATTTTACTCCTTTTTGCATGTTTTGATGTGTAGAGGTCAACATAGTCACTCTTGACTTGAGTATGAGCTTGATTAATTAATGGAATTCGTGTTGGAGCTCTAACAAGTTTGAGCCATCTCATGAGGGTCTTAAGCTAATGAACAGAGTTGGCTTGGCTCAAGTTTGACTTGTTAGCTCAAGAGCAATTAATCTAGTCCATGTTGAGTTAGCTCACAAGTCAGCTTAGCTCACACGTCTATTTTTTTGGTAGATCTTCAACTTTCTAATGCGTAGCATTACCAATATTCAATTATCTATTATGGCTTCTTTTGGATCAATATTCTTAGTGATTTTTAAATCAATTGTTTTAGTACAAAAATTTTTTTTCAAGAAATTTTCGTACTAAAAAGTTGCTTTAGAAAACAATCATAAAATTGTCTTAAACGAAGCCTATAATTGACGCAATAATTTTCTTTTGCTTCCTTAATCACTTGACCAAAATAATCGAACAACACCATTTTTAATAGAATAAGAAGTATCCATAAATATTATGTGAAATTGACTCTTAACACGACATAATCGAGAAAAATTATTCATGTAATTGATCCTATGTAGTAGGATGAAGGGTTGTGGTTGTGATTGTTGTTGTTTGTAGTTAATTATTATTTTTTATATAATGTAATATTTCAAATTCTCTCTGTATTATATCTCTATGGGCATAACCACATTGGCTCCAAAGTGGGCC